ATACTTCACCCCCCCCCATGTCAAACAATTTTTTTAAATTAATAATTTTAATGAACATTTACAGAGATTTTGGGTTTCCATTTATTCATTGCTGCACTTCTCTCCCCGCCCAGCCTTCCCCCCCCAGTTCACTCCTCTCTTTTAAAAGTAAAAGAAACACTCCCTCCCTGGTACACAATCCCCCCCACACCCGTCCCACCACCCCAAGTACATTCCACTATGCAACCTTAATTGTGGACTCTTGTGATAACCATAATACCCTATCATACATCACTTTTAAATTATTCTCTCACTCATCTGTTTCAGTGCAGTGTACACAATTTATCCAGTTTTTCTCAGTCTTACTCCAACCCTGATATCAGTCCCATTTTACAGTTGTGACACCATGCAATATTTGTCCTTTTGCGACTGAGATATTTCACTCAGCATAATGTCCTCCAGGCTCACCCATTTTGAATAATATTGCATGAGTTTCTTGTTTTTCAATGCAGCGTAGTGTTCCATTGTGTGAATATACCACAGCTTCTCTATCCATTTGTTTGTTGGTGGGCACTTAGGTTGTTTCCAACTCCTTGCTATTGTGAACAGAGCTGTGATAAACATGGGTGTGCGTATATCTGCTTGGATGTCAGCTATGGTCTCTGGGATATATTCCCAGTAGTAGTGGAATTGCTGGGTCAAATGGTATCTCTATTTGCAACTTTTTGAGAACGTGCCATACTGCCTTCCACAGTGGTTGCAACATTTTACACTCCCACCAACAGTGAATAAGGGTTCCAGTTTCTCCACAACCTAACCTCGCCAGCATTTGTTGCTTGCTGTTCTGTTAAATTTTGCTATTCTGACTGGGGTGAGATGATATCTCATAGTTTTTATTCACAGTGTCTTTATGATGCTGTTTTGTTTCTGTAGGGTTGGTTGTCATTTTTATTTTTATTTTAGAGATTTGGTTTTTTTCCCTCTCCCTGCCCTTCTTGGTTGCTCTAGCTAAAGGCCTGTAATTTTTCTTGTTATTCTTGTCTTTTTTTTTTTTCCTCTGATTCCTTGTTATTCTTTTCAAAGAAATAATTTTTTGTTTTGTGGATATTCTCTTATTTTTTTTTTCTCTACTTGTGTATAGTTGTGAATGTGAAACCATACATAATAAAACATGTATCCATTTAACATTTTCCACTTGTACAGTTCTGGCAGCATTCTTTACATTGTGTCATTACTCTTGCTATTTCTATCCATATTTTATTTTTATCACTGTTTATCACAATTTAAATGTTCTAACACTCCTCTTTGTATTAGAGTTACTACTGTCATTTTGACCCGAACCAGGTAATTCATTCTTTAAAAGAGTGTAAGACATCTGAGGTGCAACTGTTGGGTTTTTCCTTGTTTGGAACAAACAGAAGTGAAGAAAAATCAGAGATCTTTAATCCTTGAGACCACTCGAATCTCATCGTTAACTGCCCTGAGACCAAAAGCACTAAATGATGCCAGTCCACCGCTGTTGACCCCTTTGCCTGAAGATCACAATAGAAGTTCCCGATAGAGGGGGAGGAAAATAGAGAACAAAATTCAAAATAATGAAAAAGATCAAGCTTACTGACTTGATAGAGACAAACAGAATCCCCGAGATGATATAGCACTTAGTCATTCTTCACACCTAGAATTTAGATCTTCACAATGATTCAACTTAGAGCCAAACAATATACATGCCTAAATGGTAAACAGTAGCATCAGGAAGGTACTAATTCCTTAGAATCATTCCAAATCAAAACAGCAGCATTTTCCCAAGAGTAAAGCTTGGGAGGCAGAAAGGGATAGGAAAGGTGGGTGAGTGGAAACCGTAAGCATAAGAATGAAGTGGGAAGAATGTTAGGGATTGTCATTTGTGTCATGAAACATAATGTGTATGAATTGTTGAGTGGAAAACCATTTTGCTTTGTAAACTTTCACTCCAATTACGATAAAAAAATTTTTTTATAAAAAGCTTTTAAAGTGTACTGTTCAAGATGAATATTATTTCCTAGTAGAGCTATATAGTTAAAAGATGACATGATGAGATAGTTGTGGATTCAAGGCCTTAACAATGAAGATTATTTTAGTAGATTTGATTTGACTCCAGTCCCAGTAGGCCCAAAAGTCTGACTTCTATAAGAATTTGAAATCCTCTGATGCATTTTCTTCTTTTGGATCATGATCCATCTTTTGATTCCCCATAGTGTATGTATGGTTTGGGGAAAACTTACAGAGTGAGTTTTCCATTCAACAATTTATGCACATTTTATTTTATAACGTGGGTTACAATTTCCCCAATGTAACAACACTCAGATTCCTCCCTAGGATTCCCCCTGTCAACTTGTCATTCTTTCTTGTCCCTTCCTGCCTTTGGAATTTTTATAAAAACAGTTGCCCTACTGGTCTTGTGTGGTTAGTTAATTATTTTGTGCAGTGCATCCTTCACCAGTGTTATTCACTTTAGAAGGCTCTCTGTTGTTTGCCTGCAGGCAGATACCAGAAGGTTAGTTCACTTCCAGGTTTGAAGAATCTCTAAGAGTCACAGTCTGGAAGATTCCATCACTTAAAAACCAGTTCAGACCAGTAAGTCTGGTCTTTTTTTTCTGGTGTGATTTCTTCCATTCTGTTCAGAACCTTCTGTGGTCCTGGTCAAAGTGATCAGTAGGGCACTGGTGGTTGTTCCTCTCCAAGCTTCACAATGCTGCCCAAGGTCAACAAGAAAAAGACGGTAGAAAAGGAACAAAGACCCAGTGAACAAATCTGGGAGCAAGGCCAAGAAAAAGTGGTCTAAAGGCAGAGTTCAGGACAAACTCAATAACCTGGTCTTGTTTGACAAAGCCACATATAATAAACTCTGTCAAGAAGTTCCCGACTAAAAAAAAAAAAGTTCCCGACTATAATAAGCTTATAACCCCGGCTGTTGTCTCTGTTCCCTGGCCAGGGTGGCCCTTCAGGAGTACTAAGTACAAGACTTATCAAGCTGGTTTCAAAATAGAGCTCAAGTAATTTACACCAGAAACACCAAGGGTGGCGATGCCCCAGCTGCTTGTGTAGATGCATGAACAAGTCCAACCAGCTGTGCATTTTGAAAAAGAAATTTATTCAATTTAAATAAAAACAAAACAAACAAAAATCAACAATGTGCTCAGTGGGACTGGCCAGGCACCATCTATTTTTTTCCATTCTCAGACTATTTGGAGTCTGTAGCTCACATGGTCTTAATGTCCTTCATACTGATGATTTAATTGAGTCTTTTAGTCATTCTTTCCTCTGCATGAGGAGAAAATAATAAGTTCCCATAATTTTTATTTTTATTATTCACTGTTACATAGTCATCCCTACACAACCCACCCCACAGTGTCCCATAATTTTTGAGGCAACTCTCAGTCATAGTATATTCCCATCAGGTTTTAATGTTCAGCTATGATTGAAAACCCCAACTCTATTCCATATGGTTTTATTATTTAACAATCTAGAAAATTCTTTTTTTTTAAATTATTATAAATGATCCATGCTTTAACTCTCATTTATAGAAAAAAAAAACACACACACACCATGCAAATCTATACCCTTCCTCCACCACTGTCAGCCCCTAGATTGTACTGTCTTCCGTGGCTCAGTAGAGTCCTCTTGACCTTGGCTTTTTTTTTAATGCTATTAATTTTAATGAACATGTACAGAGATTTTGGATTTCCATTCATTCATTGTTGCACTATTTTCTCTACCCCCCCAGTTTGTTCCTCTTTTTTCCCCCCTTTGAAATTCTGTTTTAATTGTCCCATTGCCACAGTGTTTGTCAAAACCAGTTCTGATTAATCTCCTTTGTCAGTGTGTCCCTTGCCATTCCCTATCACTCCTCCCTGAGAGAGACTTCACCCTGATTCATAAGGAAAAGGGGATGGCGTATTCTCTTAGATATTTCCTGCTGAAAGGGAGGCTGTAGGTTTCAGGGTGAAGATCTTCTCTCACTATTCTAAAGGGCCCCTTTGGCAATTTGACCTTGACTCTTACTGAACTCTGAATAGTATCTCCACTTGCTCACTATGCATTTGATTAGTTTTATTATTCATTCTTCATTGTTCATTTTGATTAGAAGTTGGGTGTGTCCCCTGTATGCCTTCTCTGTCTCCTGTGATATCCATCACAGTGCAAGTGCTTGGCTCACATCCAGCTGATTTGAGTAAAGCAGGAATGGTGGCATTGTAGCACTGCCAGCAAAGATCCCGAGCTTCTGAGCTCTTAATTTCAAGGTAAACACGACTATTTCTAAAAAATTTATATATATATATATATATAGTGAAGTTCACTCTTAGTGGTAGATAGTTCAATGGATTTTTTTTACTGCTTGTATTGTTGCTTACCTTCGAGTTGGGACTGTCCCATAGCTGACCCTCCAGCGGCAGTAAATTTCAGGGGAGGAGATTGTCCATCCATCTCCCATGGACCAGCTGGTAGATTCGAACTGCATGCCTTTGGGATTACAGTGCAGATTCTTACCACTAGGCTGCCAGATCTCCCTGGAGATATGTAACATTCTATATGCATAGAATTGATTATGAAAATCAAGATAAAAAAATAGTTCTCATGTGCAGAATTCTATATGTGTAGAATTGCATATCTACCAAAATCAAGATGCAAGAGCAGTTTAATCACCCCCACCCCCCCTCCCAAAAAAATCCTTCCATTATTCCTCTGTAGTCAGCCCCTTTCTAACCCTGGCTCCTGGTATGCATAGATTGGTTCTACTTTTCCAAAATGTCATTTAAATGGGATCATACAGTCTGTGTAGCCTTCTTGTTTTTCTTGGCCTGGCTTCTTTGATTTAGCAAAAACTTAGCCACTTCTTTGGTTGTTAATCCTGCAGTCTCTCTTATTCTAAGCAGCTGGGACCAGAAGTTCAGAGATTTTAAAGAACCAAGCCAGGTCGATGAGGGACTCTGATGTCCTGGGGTAGCTCTCTTTGCCCTGCCACTATCCCCCTTCCATTCCAGGAGCTGCGCCGAGCACAGGAAGAGTGCAAAGAGCTGCAGGCAGAGCAGCAGAGCCAGGAGATGGCTGGCCAGCTCCGGGAACGGGAGTTGGAGAAGAAACTGGGAGTCCTCAGGGTCGAGGCTGACCGAGTCCAGGAGCTGGAACAGCAGAACCTGCAACTCCAGAAGACCCTCCAGCAACTGAAACTGGACTGTGAAGAGGCTTCCAAGGCAAGGGGAGTGGGCCCAGGACTTAGGAGGTGGAGGCTGAGGGTTCTGGAGGGCTGAGGAACCAGTGGGCGTGGAAATTACCTATCATAGGTATGTAATGACCAGATCCTTGGTCCTAAGTGTGTGGTAGAAACCAGCCAGGATTTGTTGGGAGGGCAGCTGTGTCTGACACTGAGGCTCTGTAGGGGTGGGGTTCTCAGGGAGTCTCTGACAGGTGGGACCACAGTCTTTTTGAGCGCTTGCTGTGGTGGGGGCTTTCATGGGAGTAGCAAGTACCCTGACCCCGAGGTCTGAGCCACCGCTTTCTGAACTATCCATAGGCTAAGATGGCAGCAGAGACGGAGACGTCAATGCTGGGGAAGCGTCGGGCAGCAGTGGAAACAACCCTTCGGGAGACCCAGGAGGAGAATGATGAATTCCGACGGCGCATCTTGGGTCTGGAGCAGCAGCTGAAAGAGGCGCGAGGCCTGGCGGAGGGCGGGGAAGTGGTGGAGGCACGACTTCGGGACAAGGTCCAGCGGCTGGAGGTCAGTGCTTCTGTGGAAACTCTTGGCTTTCTCTTGGCCAAATATGTAGCCATACATTTTATTTCCTCCTTAGTGTGCTTCTCTTTTGCCTCATTGTTTAACCTTGGGGTTTATACCATAGAATGCACTTTGGTGTGAATGTTTCAGTCTCTACACTAGTATTTTGCCTCTTATTTCCTACCCTGTCCTTGCTGCTCTCAGAGCCTTGATTTTTTTACTGGTTTTTTTCTACATCTGTTCTCATTGCTCATAGATACCTCTCCCCGTTCCCTCAGTTTTTCAGTTCCTATCAAGTTGATTCTGACCTCTGACCACCATGTGACTGTCAAGAGTAAAACTCTGCTTCAGAAGGTTTTCAAAGGCTTATTTTCCCCAAAACTAGATCACGCAGGTGTGAATGTCAGCCTTTGATTTCGCAGCTATTTGCACTGTCCAGGGATGACAACTCCTCTTACCCACCTCCATATGATTGAACCCAAGCTTTGTCTCCTTCCTGTCTGCCCTCCCTCACCTCCTACTCCTTCTCAGGCAGAGAAACAGCGGCTAGAGGAGGCCCTGAATACAGCTCAGGAAGAAGAAGGGAGCCTGGCAGCAGCCAAACGGGCATTGGAGGCCCGGCTGGAGGAGGCCCAGCGGGGGCTGACTCGCCTCGGGCAGGAGCGCCAGGCACTGAACCAGGCCCTGGAGGAGGAAGGGAAGCAGCGTGAGGCCCTCCGGCGGGGCAAGGCTGAGCTGGAGGAGCAGAAGCGTCTGCTGGACCGGACTGTGGACAGACTGAACAAGGAGGTGGGGCACAGGGCCGCCTGGGCGTGTAGCAGGGGCTCCACTCGTAGAAGCTCAGCTTGTGGGGGTGTGGACAGGAACCTCAGAAATGTGTGGTGTGTGCTTTCTCAGATGTATGGCTGGAGTGGCCAAGGCAGCCTTCCTACCTTTCCTCCTTATTTTTTGCTTTTTCCCATTTACTTTATGGTTTCAATTCGTGGGGAAACCATCCTAGCAGGGATATTAAGCATGTTGTTGCCTATGAGAACTAAACATAATGAGTGAACGAATCTTCTGATAGAATTTATCTCTGGTAAAGGGGAAGGGGACATGGAGGAAGAGAGGTAAGTTGTGTTTTGAGGATGAAGTTCTCTCACTTTATAAAACAACAGCAAACAATTTATCAGTTTGTAAAATGCACATTTTATGATCTCTGAAATGGGTTATATCTTATGTTTGGTGGTGGGTCATAGTCCAGTTGGCAGGTTTTTCTTTCCTGGTGGTTTATCTTATAATGATTGGCATCTTCAGTTTGCTAAAATAGAGTAAGTTTAAGGGTTACTTTGCATGAGGCACTGTGATACATCCATTAGGTAATTTAATTGAGTGCATGTCTCACAAAAACTTTCTGATATTACGATGGCTAATACTTGTTTTATAGTTGGAGAGCTGGGACCCAAAAGGGCTAAGTTAGTTGCCTGTGCTCATATGGCTGTACTGGGATTTGAACCCCAATGTCTGTATACTCTTGTTATTGTTGTGCACCCTTGAGTCAAATCCAAACGATAGCTGACCCTCTGGTGGGTTTTCAGAGGCAGTTAATTGCATGGGAGGAGACTGGCCATCCTTCTCCCATGGAGCAGCTAGTGGATTTGAACCGCGCACCTTCTGGATTGCAGCACAACTTCTTGCACAGCAGAGCTCTCTTATAAAGTCTTAGCCACTAATAATACTAGGGATGTTGGTCCAGGAAAGAGCAGTATAGGGATCTGGGAGAGTGCTGTTGTCTGTTTCCAGGTAGGACAGAGGCATCTGTTTAAGAAGTACAGTACTGAGAACTCTCATTTTGCTGTGTTTCAGCTGGAGCAAATGGGTGGTGACTCGAAGCAGGCTCTGCAGCAACTACAGGCTCAGCTGGAGGATTATAAGGAAAAGGCCCGGCGGGAGGTGGCAGATGCCCAGCGCCAGGCCAAGGATTGGGCCAGTGAGGTTGAAAAGACCTCTGGAGGACTGAATCGGCTTCAGGATGAGGTAGGGGCTCAGAGTCAATCCTGAGTGGCAGTAGGGTGGGACCTATTCCAGTTTCCTTGGTTTGAAGTAGTAATTCATTGCCTCCTAGTAGAATTCATGATCACGGGTTCCTGAGATCCAGGTATAGGTCTGCCTGCTTGTAATGACATACCAGCATGGAAGATGATGGGGGGAGTGATCCACTCCGGGTACAGAACGTGGGGGATTCATTGTCCAAAGAGCAGTGCTTATCAAAGTGCAGCACATTAGAGTTACCTGGAAAGATTTTTAAAAATCCCAATGGCCATTGCTTCTCGGCCTTTTGGCTAAGATCAAGTGTAAAAATCCCAATGGCCAAGCTACACCCAAAACCAAAGCCACTGTCATTGAATAGGTTCAACTCATAGTCACCCTCTGTCAAGTTTCCAAGGCTGTATGTCTTTAGAAGAGGAGGCTATCTGCCTTTCTTCCATGGAGTCATTCTTTTAGGTTACCAGCCCAACACATAAAGCATGGTAACACCAGGGTTTCCTAGGCTACAGCCTTTAAAATCGTATCATAAAAAAAAAATCATATCATTCAGGATCAGTAGTTTTTTAAAAAACTCCCCTGATGATTCCAATGTCTGTAGAGAATTTTTTTAAATTATTTTTTTAAAATGTATAATCACTTTTATTTCTTTTTCAAAATACATCTGAAATAAGTAAAAGTATATTTCAGGTGCTTTTCCATTTTTTACACATTTATTTATTTATTAATTTTAATGAATGTTTACAGAGACTTAGGATTTCTAGTCATTCATTGTTGCACTTTTCTCCCTACCCACCCCCTTCCCACCCAAATCACTTTTCTCCTTGAAAGGAAAAAGAAAAGCTCTCTCATTGTTATGCAGTCCTTCCCCCCAAGTTCACTACACTATGCAACCTTCACTCTGGACTTCTGTAATGACAAGAATACCCATTCATATGTCCCTTTTAAACAGATCTCTCCCTCATCTGTTTCAATGCAATATACATAATTCCTCTCCTCCTTTTCTGTCTTCCCTCAACCATGATGTCAGTCCCTTTTACAACAGTGGCCCTATGCAATAGTTGTCTTTTTGTGACTGAGATATTTCACTCAGCATAATGTCCTCCAGGGTCATCCATTTTGCATAATATTGCATGAGTTCCTTGTTTTTCAATGCAGTATAGTATTCCATTGTGTGAATATACCACAGCTTCTCTATCCATTCGTTTGTGATGGCACTTAGGTTGTTTCCAGCTCTTTGCTATTGTGAACAAAGCCGCTATAAACAGGGGTGTACTTATATCTGTGTGGGTGGCAGTTATGGTCTCTTTGGGGCATATTCCCAGTAGTGGAATTGTTGGGTCAAATGGTATTTCTATTTGCAATTTTTTGAGAAAGCACCATACAGCCTTCCATAGTGGTTGCACCATTTTACACTCCCACCAACAGTGAATAAGGGTTCCAGTTTCTCCACAACCTCGCCAGCATTTGCTGTTTGCTGTTCTGTTGAATATTGCTACTCTTACTGGGGTGAGATGGTATCTCATAAGTTATCTTGATTTGCATCTCTATTTCTTTTTCTTTTTTTTCTTTGCATCTCTCTTAGAGCTAGGAATTTTGAACATTTCTTCATGTGTTTGTTTGCCATCTGAATGTCTTCTTTGGTGATGTGTCTGTTCATATCCTGTGCCCATTTTTCAATTGGATTATTTACCTTTGTCTTGTTGTGGTGCTGAGTATTTTTTTTTCTTTTTGTTCTTTTTTTCTGTGTACTGTCAAATTGGATCTGGTTGGTACAGGAGGAGATTGTTCCTCCTTCTCCAGCAGAGCATCTGGTGGATCCGAACCACAAACCTCTGGGATTGCAGAGCAGCTTCTTGTCACTAGGCCACCAGCACTCCCTGGTGCTCGAGTATTTTATAAATTCTAGATAAAAGTCCCTTGTCAGACATGTCATTACCAAAATGTTTTTCCCAATCTGTGGTTGCCCTTTTTACCCTGTTGGAGAAATTTTTGGATGTGTATAGGGATTTGATTCTTAGAAGGTGCATTCATCGATTTTATCCTCTCCTGGTTGTAGATTTTCCAGGACGCTTGGAAGACTTTATGTTGTGGACTAAGACTTCTAGAGTTCTTCCAAGCTTTTCTTTAATGAAGCTTATAGCCCTTGCTTTTAATCCTAGGTTCATAATCCACTTTGAATTGGTTTTTGTGTATGGAGTGAGGTGTAGGTCTTGCTATCTTGGTTTCTGCTGAGAAATCAGCACTTAAACTTATCTGCTCTCCTTTATAGGTTACTCTTTGTTTCTCACTCACTGCGTACAGGATTTTCTCCTTATCATTGGTTCTGGCAAATTTAACTATGAAACGCCTTGGTGTTTTTCTTTTGGGTCTGTTCTATATGGTGTTTGCTCTGCATTTTGAATATATATTCCTCATTCTTCATTATGCCTGGGAAGTTTTCTTCTGGTAATTCTTCCACAACTTTTTCGGTGTGTTTACTTGCTTCTTCCTGTTCTGAGATTCCAGTGAAGCCCGTGTTATTTCTCTTGATGGTGTCCCACATTATTCCTAGGTTTTCTTCTTTTTCCTTCCTTTTTGATTCTGCTTTTTTGCTCTAGCAGATCATTGGTGACAATTCTCTCTTGTATTTCACTGGTTCTGTGTTCCATCTCTTCAACTCATGTGTCCTCCATCATGTTGACAGCTCTGAAACATTGGACCTCATATTTTGGATCATGGTTTCTTGTTTTTTCCAGTGCTGCTATTGCCTCATTTGGGCCATCTCTATGCAGCTTGCTATTCCTCCAGCTCTTCACAGTGTACTCTCCACTGTTGCCACCTTGGAATTCCCTGTATGTAGAGAATTTTTATGACTGGAAACTGGTCTTTTTGTTATCTCTATGTTCTGGGGAGCTCTGGTGGCATAGCTCGTAGGAAACTGTGCTAATAACCTAAAGGTTCAAATCCACAGTCACCTCCAGAGGAGAAAGATGGGCAATCTCCCTTTCAACAACCTCTGAAAATCTGCTGGCTGATCAGCTATGAATTGGTTCTGATGTGGCAACAATGAGACTGCTTTGCACTTCTAACCGTTATCAGCAATAAAAAATATTTCTCCTGTCATCTAACCTTATGCCTAGACTCAGCGGCTGCGGCAGGCCCTGCAGACATCCCAGGCTGAGCGGGACAGTGCCCGGCTAGACAAAGAGCTGCTGGCCCAGAGACTACAGGGGCTGGAACAAGAGGCAGAGAATAAAAAGCGGTCCCAAGATGACAAGACCCGGCAGCTGAAGGGCTTGGAGGTGAGGATGATGCTGGGGGAAGCTGTGGTGGGTAAGGAAGACGGCCCCGGGCCCTGGTACAGGCAAGATCTGTGTGGAGAAAGGAATCAGGTTATTTCAAGCCTCTTTCTTTGAAAGATGGGTTTTATTTGGTTGCACTATCTAAAACAACTTTGAATTAATTGCCAATGTTCAGAAATGTTTAGGTTCCACATTAAATTTCTGGCTTCTTTGGTAAAATTGGAAAGATACAGTAATGCTGAGGTTTTAGTCCTGCATTTTTGACGTGGAAGCTGTTGGTTGGAATTGAGCAGTGTGGTTCATGGGGCTATGTTCATTCATAATAATAGTAATAGGTAAACACATACTGTGCTGTGAAACAAATAAATGCATATATACTGTGCTACGTGTCAGCCATTTTAAGATTCATTGATTCTCAGAATAAACCTGTGAGAATGATACTCTTGTTTTCCTCACTTTACACATGAAAAGAATTGAGCTACAGAGAAGTGAACTAATTCACCTTTGTGACCACACTGCTAGCAAGTGGCAGATCTGAATTTCAAAACCAGATAACCTGGCCTCCACGTCCATCCTGTTTACCTGTACATGGTGCTGCCTGATTTTGGAGTTTACTCCCCCCAGTCTATACCCTGGTCCTTCAATTTCTGACCCTCTCCATCTCAGCCGTGGCCCAGGCATTTGGGCATCTCTGTGTTTCCCACTGGGGAAATAAGGCTTCTTCAGCGAGAAGTGCTTTCTGGGGTCTGCCGCCTTTCCAAAGGGCAGTAAATAATTAAGAGCATGCCCCACTTTTTTCCCGTGGTGCTACATCTGGCCAGCAGAGGGCACTAACTCTATATTGGCTCCTGGCAAAAACTAGGAACAAGACGTTATGGAAATGCAAGAAGTCTAGGGAACCTGGGGTTTAAATGGTTCCTGGTTAGAGATTAGCATTCCAGTGCCTGGTATTTGAGCCAGGATTGACCTGTTGTCCATTTGGCACAGGAAAAAGTTTCACGGCTTGAAGCAGAGTTGGATGAAGAGAAAAACACTGTGGAGCTGCTGACAGACCGATTAAATCGTGGTCGTGACCAGGTAACTACTCACATAGGCCTCATCTGTGTCTGTCTCTGACTTCATGTTTTTTCCTCTCATAAACAATTTTATGCTTTCCTGATGGCTTTCATATTTCCTAATCTGGAGAGTTCTGGCTGCAGAATCTGGCCAGGGCTAGCTGTGCTTTAGGGTCTTGTTTGCTTTCGGTAGGATTAGCAGGTTTTCTCAGGTAGAATAAAGCCAATAATTTGGATGAAAGGAGGATTCCTGATGACTTTGAACTACTCTGATCTGAGTCGAAGCTACTGCAGCTCAGAAGAGGTGCAGGTTCCTGGCAGGACTAAGGAGGCAATGTTCTTAGGGCTACTCCCATTCGAATAGGCTGTGATTTCCTAATTGCTTGGGAATTTTGACATTTAGGATTCAGAAACCATCCCGCAGTGCCTCTTCTTCGCTTGGGTTAGCTTGCTGACTCCTCTTTAGCCTCCCCAAGCCTGGTTGCCCTTGCTTTCCTCCACCAGGTGGACCAGCTGAGAACAGAGCTCATGAATGAGAGGTCTGCTCGACAGGACCTGGAGTGTGACAAAATCTCTTTGGAGAGACAGGTGAGAGGAAAGGTGGGGAGTCACAGGCGAGACTCAAGGAGGCGGGCACAGAAACCTCAGAAGGGGCTGAGGAGTGGAGTTCTAACCATGGAGGCTTCCTTTCCTCTTCAGAACAAGGACTTGAAGAGCCGGTTAGCTAGCTCAGAAGGCTTCCAGAAGCCCAGTGCCAGCCTTTCTCAGCTTGAGTCCCAGAATCAGGAGTTACAGGAGCGGCTGCAGGCTGAGGAGAGGTATCATGAGCTTGCCCCCTTGTTCCTTCCGCCCCTCTCTTTCTGTTCTGCTTTGGGGCTTCCTCTGGCTTCACCTCAGACATAGTCACCTGGCCTGATCTCTGTTGTTGTTATGTACCGTCGAGTCATCTGCGACTCATAGCGACCCTATGTACAACAGCCCTAAACCCTCCTCTATCCTGTGCCAATCCCATTGCCTCTGACACACCCATCCTGATTACCCCAGTCACTGAATCAATCCACCTCATAGAGGGTCTTCCCCTCCTGCGCTATCCCTCTACCCTCCCAAGCATGATGTCCCTCTCCAAGGACCTGTTTCTCCTTACAACATGTCCAAAGTATGTCAGACGAAGCCCTGATCTCTAGAGAGGCCTTTTCTCTCCAGAGAATGTTGCAGAAGTTCTGAAATCAGAACACCTCTATCTCCCCTGGACATCCCCTGCCTTAGGGAGAAGACAGTTCTGCAGTCAACCAACCGGAAATTGGAGCGGAGAGTGAAAGAACTGTCCATCCAGATTGATGATGAGCGGCAGCATGTCAATGACCAGAAAGACCAGGTGAGGGCATCCAGGGCCAAATAACCATGTGGCAAAGTATATATTATGTATCTGCTTGAAGACAGGGAGGCTTCCATCTTCCACATCCTCCAAATTTAGACTTAGTTTTTTTAAGTATAAGGACAAGGAGATTAGACTGAAAGGAATGGAAAGGAGTGATTCTAAAATGAGATTTTTTTTAAACTCTTGAGTCAGTTTTAACTTGTGATGATATCCTCGTATGTATAAGAATAGAACTGAAAAAAGAAAAAAAAGAATAGAACTGTGTTCTGTAGGGTTTTCAGTGACTGATTTTTCAGAAGTAAATTGCTTTGAGGCCCTTCTAAGTTGTCTTGAACTTTTGGTTATTAGCCAAGCACATTAACTCTTTATACCACTGAAGGACAAAATTGGACCAGAATAATCATAGTAAGCATGCTTAGGACATGCTCGGTTCTCTAAGTATATAAACTCATTTAATCCTGAAAACAGCTTACAAGATGTGTACATTTGTTATATCCTTTTTCCAAATGAGGAAACTGGGGAATAGAGATTAGAGAACTTGTCCATGGTTCAGAACATTTCCAAGGGACAGTACTCTCTTGTCAAGATTACTTCAAGAATGGGGCTAAGGCCATGGTAGCAGATACCTATCTAATGAGGGGACTTGGTGCACTGTCCAGTTAAGCCTGCGGGTGAAGGCTTTGAAGCGGCAGGTGGATGAAGCAGAAGAGGAAATTGAGCGGCTGGACAGCCTGAGGAAGAAAGCCCAGCGTGAACTAGAGGAGCAGCATGAGGTCAATGAACAGCTCCAGACCCGGATCAAAGCCCTGGAGAAGGACTCCTGGTATGAGCTGCCCTACAGCACTGTGCTCCATAGTAGACCCTCCTGAACTGGATAAGGAGAATCTCCTTAAGAAGGGATTTTGCAGATAGTCACTCATTCTTAGCAAGATGCCAGTATGATTACCTCTTAGGAGCTTATATACCACAAATCTCTGATTAGTAGGGAATCTTGTGAGCAGCTCTAGGCCTTAGAAGAATTGGAGTTTCTTTAGCCTGTTGTTGTTAGGTGCCATCGAGTCGAGTACGACTCATAGAGACCCTATGAACCAAAGATCTGAACCCTACTCTATCCTGTGCCGTCCTCACACTTCATGACACACAGGAGCCCATTGCAGCAGTCACCGTGTCAGTCCACCTGGTTGAGGGTCTTCATCTCCTTTGCCGACCCTCCACCCTTCCCTACATCATGGACATCTCCAAGGGAATAGCCCCTCCTCGCAACATGCTCAAAGAATATAAGACAACGCCTCATCATTCTTGCCTCCAAAGAGCACTCCAGCTTCACCCTCTCTCACAGACATATCTGTTCTCTTGGCCGTCCATGAGATGTTCAGTACTCTTCTCCAACACCACAGTTCAAAAGCACCAGTTCTATCATCTCAGTTCATTGTCTAGCTCTCAGATTTTTTCCTTAGCATGGAAAGGGTAAATGTCTCAATTGTTCCTGTCCCCTTCCTTACCAGGATCTCTTGCTTTCTTTGATTCAGGCGTAAAGCTGCTCGCTCAGCTGCAGAGTCAACCCTCAAACATGATGGACTGAGCTCAGATGAGGAATTCGACAGTGTCTACGACCCCTCATCTATTGCATCACTGCTTACTGAGAGCAACCTGCAAACCAGCTCCTGTTAGCGCATAGTCAACAAGAGCCCAGAAACCCAGCTTGGGGCCTATCCTAGCCAGCCCTGCTCTGCACTGTCTCTGCTGTGCCTTGCCCAGCCCTGGATTCCACGTTCTTGTGGGTGACCCAAATGTTCAGATCTAAGGCAGGGAAGAGTCTGAGTCTTGGCTGTAAAAATGGTATCAGAGCTAAGCTGATTATGGACTTTCCCTTTCCTTTAGAGGAGTGGGTATTTTAGGCCAACCAAGTCCTTCCCTTAATTGCAGATATCACTTTGTTCTCCCTCATAGAAAGATGGTCTATATATATAGATAGACTGTGGAGAACTGAGCATGATCATAAGGGAGAAACATTGCCATGTATATAAAGCTTTAGAATACGTTTTCTCTTTAATAACCTTGAAGCTCAGGGAAGTATTCTATGTGATTCAGCTCCTCTGACTTCTGAAACCCATTTTCTTTCTATCAGGAGCAGGGTGAGGGAGAACATTACGGATAATGGACACGCTGGCGTGGCTCTCCTCACTAAATACATGCTCCTCTTTGTACAGTCATGAGACCTGTGAAGAAGTAACCCCGTCCTCCTCTTCCTTCTGCACCAGCGGGTCCAAGGGACTCTCCTTCCCATCGTTGCCATTCCTGCCTTCCTCCTTCCTCTCAGTGCCTTAGCCAGGGTGAGGAGTTAAGGATGCCCTTCTTGCCTTTTATCCCTGAGCATTTATACCTCTACAGAGCCTTTCCACAATTAGGGGCCTCCGTCTTCCTTTTCTCTGCCCCAGTGACTGGTTGGGAGAGCTTTCAGCTTTTCTACTGATGAGCCCATGTGAGACTTTGGTAGGGCAGTGACCAGATGGTGAGGGCCTGGTTCTGCTCAGGGTTTCTGTCTTTCAACCCTCTCTTCTGTGACTATGGATGCTGCTAGAAGCTGGTTAATCCTAGGAACTGTGACTACTGTCTTCACAAGTTCAGAACACAAAGAATTCCCTGTGGCCTTCATTGTGGCTTTCCTGACCAAATGTGCCCAAACTCACTCAGTTGGGAACTATGAACCCTCGTTTCTCTGGTCCTGATTCTAGGCATCCTACTTGGAGGTGAGATCTGACACTTGGTAGAAATGAAGGGACAGTGGAGGCTTTATTTCTCCTTTGGATCTTGGGGAGTGTCAGGCCCTAGTGGGGAAGAGGTAATGGGGATGATTTACCTCTTTAATTCCTTAAGGAGCTCAATATGGAGCTGCTGGGGAGAGGAGGAAGGCTATTCTCATTAATGACTTTAATCTCTTAATTTAAAAAAAAATTCCTCTATTCTCCTGCAAATCAAACATTCTCTCAATCCAAATCCAGCTTTGATTTTATTTTAAATTAAATATTAAAATTATATATCTATACAAAAATTGTTGGCTTGTCATCTCTTTTTTTGGGGGGGGGGTCCTGGCTTCTTTGGTAGTTTAGATTTCATGAACAGTTTAAGAGGCTGAAGCTGAAGTTTTCCTCACCTCATTGTCCCTCTTTTCAGAGACCCTTCCACAGCAGATCACATGGGATCTGGGCCCTAGACAGTATACAGTCATCCCATTCTCTGGGATAACCCACTGATGATAGGAGAATATCAGTAAATAGCATCAAAGGTTAGAAGAAAGCAGATCGGGGTTTTATTCCTGTTGTATTTTGTAAATTGTAAAAGGGACAAGGGCAACCTGAGAATAACAAGTCTGACCTCTGTTATCTCCATAAAGGGGAACTGTTGCCACCAACAACATCCACTATATAAAACTAATCCCTTTAAGGTTTGACATGGCCACCTCTCTGCATGCTTCTGCATCTACTTCTAATTACTGGGTCCAAAATTTGTTACCAGTGACTCACAGGCTTTCGTTTTCTCAGAGTTGTGGGATTTATTAAGGAAATAGGATGAGGGAGGCAAAGGATGTCCCACAGTGAATGTTCTGGTTAGTAAACAGCAGTCCCAAGCCTGGTTAACAGCAAGACACTATTCCTCAATTAGTTCTGATAGTTCCTCAGTCAACAAGTCAAAGTGGAGGTTCAGTCTAGCAACACAAATGCAAGAAGTCTCTGGTTTCCTCAATTGTCCAGCAGGCTTTGTCTTGGCAGTCACAAGTCAGCTCTTCTATCAGTTGTCCAGCAAGCAGAACCTTAACCCTGGCTCTATCTCCAGGGTTTCATCAGTCTATGCCTCTCCATGGTCTCTGTACAGTCCAGTTAGCTTTCTTATGTTGGCCTCACAGCTGTTGATAATGTTGAAGACACTGGTCAACTGTAAATCATGTACACAGTTGAGGCAGCTAGACACTGCTCCCAGGAGAACTGAGGGTGCTGGGTGGAGCTTCAAAGATTAAATTTATTTACGCATTCCCACCTGGCCATGTGGTCAGGTCTAAGGCAACTGATATTGTTGTTATGCTCTGTCAAGTCAACTATGACTCAGTGACCCTATGAACAAACGAATGGCTCTGAACCTTGCCCTACCCTGAGCCAACCTCAACATTTCTGACACACCTGACCTCATTGCCATAGTCACTATGTCAGTACATCTCATGCAGGGTCAACATCTTCTTGTATTGACCTTCTACCTTTCCAAGCATGATGTCCTCCAAGGATTGGCCCCTCCTGACAACATGCCCAAAGTATGCGAGACAGAATTCCAAAATCCTTGCCTCTAATGATCAACCTGGTTTCATCCTCTCCAGGCCAGACCTGTTTGTTCTCTTGGCAGTCCTTGGTATGTTCAATACTCTTTTCCACCAGCACAGCTCAAAGGCATCAATTCTTCGGTCACCCTTAGTCATTATCTAGCTCTCCAATACATAGCAAGTAATTGAGACTAGCATGGCTTGGATCCGGTGAACCTTAGTCTGTAGTCTTACATCATTGCTTGTTAGTACTTGACAGCAGATTTTTCCTAATGCAACTCAGGTTTTGATTTCCTGACTGCTGGTGTCGAGGTTGTTGATTGTGGACCCGAGCAAGATGAAATCATTAACAACTTCAGTCTTTTCTTCATCTGTCATGATGCTGCCTATTGGCCCAGTGGTAAGGATTTTTCTTTTCTTGATGTTGAGATGCAATCCATATTGAAGGCTGCAGTCCTTGATCTGCAGTAAGCACTTCAAGTCCTCAGTTTCAGCAGGCAAGGTTGTGTCACATGCGAGTCTTTCTCTAATCCTGATGCAACATGCTGCTTCATAAAGTCCAACATTTCAAACTATCTGTTCAGCATATAGATTGAAAAGGTCCAAAGAGGGAATACATCTCTGAGGTACTCTTTTCTATGTTTTGAGCCATGCAGTGTTCTCCTACTGTTTGAACAACAGCTTCTTGGTCTAGGTATAAGTTTTGCATGAACACAGAGTGCTCTGGGATTCCCATCCTCAATGTTAGCCTCAATGTTAGATCACAATTTGTTGTGATCCGGACAGTCAGACTTCTTACGTAGCTGATAAAACACAAATAGACATCTTTCTGGTACTCTCTGCTTTCAGCCAAGATTCATCTTACATTGGCAGTGATGTCCCTAGTGCCATGGACTCTTCTAAACTCAGCTTGCATTTCTGACAGTTATCAGTCAATGTATAGTGCTAGTTGGTTTTGGATAATCTCAGAGTTTGCTTACATTAATGATGTTGCTTGATATTTTCCATATTTTGTAGATTACTGTTTTGGGGAATGGGAATAAGTATGGATCTCTTCCAGTCAGCTGGCCAGGTAGCTGTCCTCTAGATTTCTTGGCAACCTGGTGAGCACATCTAGTAGGGTTGCATCTATTTGTTGAAATATGTCAATTGACAATCTATCAGTTCCTGTGGCCTTATATTTTTGCTGATGCCTTCAGAGCAGCTTGAATTTATTACCACCAGTTCTTGATCATATGCTACTTCTTGAAATGGTTCTATGTCAACCAATTCCTTTTGGTACAATGACTCTCTATTCCTCCCATCTTCTTTTGATGCTTTCTGGATCAGTCAAGGTTTTGCTCATTGTATCTTTTCAAGTATTGCAACTCAAGGCTTGAATTTGTTCTGTAGCTTTAGAAATGCTGAGTGCCTCCCTTTTGATTTTCTGACTCCAGCTCTTTGCCTATTTTGATGTAATACTTTCCTCTTTCTTCACTAACTGCCCTTTGAAATCTTCTGTTCAACTCTTTTTTGACATAATTTCTTCCCTTTGTTTTGGCTTCACAGCATTCATAGTACAATATTCATAATCTCTTCTGACATCCATTTTAGTCTTATCTTCATGTGTCTTTGTAATGACCTTTTGCTTTCTTCATGGATGATATCTTTGATGTCATCTCACAGCTCATCTGGTCTTTGTTCATTAGTTTTCAGTGCCTCAAACCTGTTCTTGAGATGGTTTTTAAATTCAGGTGAGCTAATCTCCAAATAATATTTTGGTTCTCGTGTATTTGTTTTCATTTTCTTTAGCTTCAGTTTGCATTTGCACTTGAGTGGTTGATGCTCTGTTCCACTGAAACCTAGTCAGGTTTCAGCTGACAGTTAGTTTCTCCAAGGATTCTTTCCACAGATATAATCAACCTGATTCTTGTGTAGTCAGTCCATCAGGTGAGGTCTATGTATATAATCGTCGTTTGTGGTTTTTATGAAAGGTATTGGCAATGAATAAATCATTGTAAAAAATTCTATCATTTTATTTCCAGCCTTATTTTTTGCCATCAAGCCTTTATTTTCTGACTACTTGTCCTTCTTCCTTGTTCCCAACTGTTGCCGCCCAGTCACCAATTATTCTTTTTGTGTGTGTGTGTGTGTGTGTGTGTGAGTGTACCGTCAAATCAGATCTGACTGGTACAGGAGGAGACTGACCCTCCTTCCCCGGCAGAGCATCTGGTGGATTCCAACCGTGCGCCACTGGGATTGTAGTTGCAGCTCCTTGCCACTAGGCCACCAGAGCTCCCCATTCACCAATTATTCTTAATGAATCTAGGTTGCATGTTTTATCAATTTCAGACTGCAAAAGTTGGAATGAATTTTTTATTTCCTCTTCTTGAGCTTTAGTTATTGGTACTCATATTTGAATGATAGCGGTATTAACAGGTCTTACTTGTAAGTGTACGGGTATTATCCTGTCACAACATTGTACTTCAGGATGGATCTAGAAATGGTCTTTTTCACTATGAATGGCAAACCCATTTTTATTTACTTTTTCATTCTCAGCATAGTAGATAATTTGATTGTCTGTTTCAAAGTGACCAATGCCAGAGCCCAGGTAAGCTCACTAATATGTAGTGTGTCAATCTTTTTGTGTTCCATGTTTTTAAAACAATGTCCAATTTTCCTACATTCATACTTCATATGTTCCACATTCCAATTATTATTGGCTGTTTGGAAGCTTCCAGTGCTTTATCTAATAGTCTACTAATAGTCTAAGTGTGTTCTAATCCTATCATTTCGGATACACTCAGCATTCATCTCCCCAGCACAACTATCTCTCTTCCCTTTCCTACCAGGCATGGACTCAGTGGTGCCCTCCTGGGAGATAGGGAGGTTCCTGCCATCCTTGGGCTTGTGTTGCCTCAGAGAGTCAGTTGTTCACAAAGCCTCTTGCCATTCTAGAGTGGGCCAGATCTGGCAAAGCATTCTGCCTGCTGTTCCAGTGGACCACTGCCCATTGGGGCAGCCACCTGCCTAGAACAGCTGGGCTGGGAAGAGTCTCCAGGGTCTTTCTTGGACAACTATCTCTTCTAGGCCCCATTATGCCAACCTGGCTTGGGAACTAGTAAAGTAGTTGAGGCTCATCAATTTAGGAAGCATACCAATTCCTTTTAAGGCAATTATGTCCCGCCTATCCCAGCCATATAAGGACAGCTTTGGTATAATAGCTTCTACAAAACAAGCCCCACCCAGAGCCAAGCTGGCTTTGACTCTGGCCTGGGCCTCCTGCCAAGAATGGGCACCTGCCAGACAGGCTTAGGCCAGTCTGAATGAGCTGGCCTCTTGGTGTCTGCAATTTCACAGTGGAGGGAAGGTTTGTTCAGCTGGCTCCTCAGGACTACAGACTGGTCTATGTATGAAGAAAATAGCTAGTGTTGAGGATTTTGCAGGTACCAACTCATCCCCTAGGGGGCAGAGTGATTTTGAGGTTGAAAGCACTAATGAATGTTTGAGGATACAATCACATACGCTAGACAAAAGGTTCAATTACGTCCTCTGGGTAGTGCTCCACCTTTATGCAAATTTGAACGAATGCCCTTGCTGTGTTTCCTGAAATCTCTGGGCCACTCCTACTCCACTCATCAGTCCACTCTCATTGGTGAATTGAGTTATGGGCGCAGCTTACCTCCTGTCCCCGCCCTCGACGTGTCTATATAAGGGAGTAGTTCGCCGCCCGCCCGCCCCCAAGGACCCGGGCCGCAAGGCAAAGCGCTTGTGTGTTGTGCTGCCTTGTGGGAAGACTATGAACGGGACGCGGAACTGGTGTACCCTAGTGGACGTGCATTCTGAGGGGCAGACCGCGGTAAGAGAAGGTGGCCACACCGCCTCCCTGTTTAGTATTCTCGGTTTCCAATTCCGCCCTGCCGATGCCCGGTGAAGAGCTCGCTACCTTTACCTGGTGCTCCACTCAGCCAGTATCAGGCAACCCTTCTCTTTTCCCATCACCCGGCAGCAGCCGTGGTAGGGTTTTGGGGATTCATAGGACAGAGATTCTTTTCGAGGTTCGAGGGGTCGGGGTGTTCCTGCCCTTTGGGAGGGCATACACCGGACTCGGCGCCGGTGCGCGATGGCGGAAACTTCAGCCGCGGAGCTCTGGGCGCGTTACTCACCCCCAGTCCTGTGGGGAGCTTGATGGAGTCAAAGGAGAAGGAGCGCAAGCGGCGGGACCCCTGCTCCCGATATCATGGACGCTTTGTCCTCGAGAGGCGGATTAGACTTTGCCGTGGGTCTTTGTGAACTCTCTGGCCCTTCAGAGAACTTCATGGAGCTTTAGATAATTGATAACAAGAAAAAGAGGTAGCAGGCTCTTTCTTTGTGTTTGGACTGGAGGGTTGGGGGGATGTGTGAAGAGCCATAGAACTCAAAAAGCTACACCGAGATTGGCCCATGACTACCTTTCTCTTGGGTTTTGGCTTTCCACCTGTGTGTGTGTGTGTGTGTGTGTGTGGTCACTCCGCTCGCATTTCTCTTCCTTCCCTCTGCAGTCACCTTCTCCCTTCCCCCTTCATCTCCCTAATGGCTGATAGCTTCTGGGGACATTTGTCGCTTTTGCTTCATCTTCAACCTCCAAGTCTGATGACATATAGATGAAGGGGGATGCTGGAGACTGAGATGGGAAGGGAAGGGTTGGCGGTGAGGGGACGTGTTGCCCCTTGGTCTCTATCTAGTCCTGCTAGCGAGGACACTCCAGCTAACCATATGGTTTCTCTTCCGGAGGGGCAGAAGAGGTTAAGGTGCTACTGAGTGTTTCTAGGAGAATTTAACCTCTGATAGGTGTGTATTATTTAGTCAATTTTCAAGCTGTTGTGGAAACTGGTGAAATGGGAGCCAAGGTAGCCCTCCCCTCCTCATCTGATGCCCTTTCCCTGTGCCTGCCTCAGCATGCCCTTGAGCTAGAGCTCACCCAGCTGCTGCTGTTCCATTAGGACGCTTCAAAGAATATTTGTAGAATAGATGCTCAATTCATGCTTAGGGTGCAGATGATCTTTTCATTGTTTACAGTTCCTTCTCCGTTTCCACCCAAGCTATCACATTACAATACAGGTCTCCTCTCCGCTCAACCCCATTCTGCTATCTTCTAAAGTCTTCTGTAGCCTTCTAAGCTCCCAGGTCTGGGGAGATAGAAGGGGGGGAAAATCCACTTTATTATATCAGCCATATAGATCCATGTCTTAGTTACCATCACACTCTTGTTCATGATTTTAGAGTGTTTATTTTCTTTTGTTTTGGAGTGATTGATGCAGGTAAAAGGGCTCAAAAACAACTGTGGTCTAGTTGGAGCTGACCTTTCAGTGGAATTTTAGAGACTGTAAATAATAGGGTAGGAGATTGCCCATTTTCCCCCCTCACAAAACAGATGGTAAATTTGAACCAAGCATCTTTGAGTTGGCAGGGCCCCAGAGCTCCCTAGGTAAAAGAGGAGATGTTAAATAAAGGAGAAGAGTATTTGAACTTTTCTTTTCTGTAGAAAAGAGATCCACAAAGAAGTCTAGGACCAAGATATAGATAAGGTTAAGAATTAATCAACATCACCCACTATCCCTTGATATTTCTTTGTTGGGAACAGAGATTCAGTCTCTAGCCACAGATTAAATTTGAAGTGAATCAGAGACATCTAGAGCTCCAAGGAGAGACAGAAATTCCCCTTTATTTTTTCTATTCTGGGGTTAATATTTTTACCCCAAAATTTGGACAGATACACTCCTGCCCGCATCTGACTTGCAAGACATTCCTGGGCTCTTAAGGAGGGCAAGGAGATGGTAAACAATCAGTCAGTCAGGAGATAGGCTTTGTCCTGGATTCCTCTCCTCTGAGCCATCTTTTGCAGGACTCTGTACAGTCCTCAGGAACCTGTTGTACTATTGAATGAGTCCTCAGTGCATGTTCTGAGTGAGTGAGCTGATATGCATATGAACATATGATTCTTCTGTGGTGGGCAGTGTCGACAGTTGTTCTCACTGGAGTTCCTAATGGCAATCCATACACTCTGTTGGTAATTTCCCACCAGCTAGGCATTATCCCCTAATCTACCACATATGAATCTAAAAGTACGCTCTAATACACTCTGGACTGTTTTAATGGGAGACAGATGTAGCAGGTACAAGAAACCAGTGTTTTTCCAAACTGCAGATCACATAACAAGTAGTGAGTTTGAAATCAACATAGTGAATCAGAATGAACATTAAAAAAATGACACTGCACACCCATGTTTATTGCAGCTTTGTTCACAATAGCAAAGAGTTGGAAACAACCCAAGTGTCCATCAACAAACGCATGGATAGAGAAGTGGTGGTACACAATGGAATACTATGCTGCATTGAAAAACAAGAAACTCATGAATTATACAAAATGGGTAACCCTGGAGGACATTATGCTACGTGAAATATCTGAGTCACAAAAAGACAAATATGGCATGCCACTGTTATGAAACAGGACTGACATGGAGACTGGGGGGAAACTGAGAGAAGAGGGGATAAATAATCTACACGGCATTGAAACAGACGAGGGAGAGAACTGTATAAAAGGAATATATAATTAGGTATTGTTGGCATGACAAGAGTCCAGAATAAGAGCTGTATAGTAAAGTGGTCTGGGGCGGGGGGAACGATTGTATAACAATGAAATAACTTTTTTCTCCAAGAAAAAAAGCCATTTTGGGGGAAGGGGGCAGGGAGGAAAATGTGCAACAATGAACTGTTGGAAACCCAAGTTCTTTATAAACTTTCATTAAAATCTAAAAAAAAAAAAGGAAAGGAAAAAAAAATTATGACACCATGAGACCAGAAGTACTAGATGGTGCCTGGTCACCATGATGACTGGCACTTAAATGGTTCATGGTAGAAGATCCTTGTCGGATCAACTGGAACAGAACGCACTCATAAAAAATCTACCGTACTTCCTGGTCTGATAGAGCCTGGTGAAACTCGGAGTCTATGGCCTTTAGACATCGTTTAGGGCTGGGACTGTTTGTGCTCCCCTGGCTTAACTTTCATTTAACTAAGAGGACATTAGATGAACACCACCAGGGAGTTAGACACTCATTTAGGACAATCAAGCCTATGAGATCAAAAGGGCACCATTTGCCTAGATGAGAAGGCATGAACAGATAGGAAAGAAAAATGAAGGGAAATGACATACACAAGAAAGAAGTGGGAAGAATGATATTACGTTATAGGACTGCAATCAGTGGCACAAAACAAAATATGTGTGAATTGTTGGATGCTATTGTTGTTGATTGCCTTCGAGTCGAGCATGACTCATAGTGACTCTATGAACAAAAGACCTGAAGCCCCTCTACAACTGTCGACATTTATCAAAGTTCATGGAATTTCTGGAGGCATGTTGTTTAGGAAGTGGATGCCACTCCTGCTTCCAAACCTGTCATAGTATGTTATTGTTATGTGCCATTGAGTCGCCTGCAATGCATAGCTACCCTGTGTACAGCAGCTCTGAACCCTTCCCTGTCCTGAGCCAGTCTCACTAATTCTGATATATCAGCCCCCCAGTCGCTGTATCAGTTCATCTCATGCATGGTCTTCCTCTTCTGCACTGCCCATCCACCACTCTAAGCCTGATGTCCTTCTCCAAGGACTGATCTCTCCTGCCCACAAGCCCAAATTAAGAGAGATGGAGCTTCAGAATCCTAGCCTTCAAGGAGAGACTTGGTTCCACCCTCTCTAAGACAGACTTATTTGTTCTGTTGGTGGTCCATGATATTTTTAAGACTAATCTCCAGTACCACAACTCGAAGGCATCTATTCTTCTGCCGTCCTTGGTCATTGTCCAACTCTCTGAAGCATAACAAGTAATTGAGAAGATCATGGCCTGGAATAGGCTTTGCTCTTTAGCACTCTGGAGAGGTCCATGATAGCAGATTTTCCCCAAATGCAATTCGTCTTTTGATTTCTTTACTGCTGGTATTAAGAGTGTTGATTATGGATCTGAGCACGCTGTAATTGCTAATAACCTCAATCTCCATCTATTATCATGCTGCCAACTGGCTCAATGGTAAGAATCTTTGTCTTTTTGATGTTGAGCGTCAATCCATTTTGAATAGAAAACCAGTTTACTCTGTAAACTAACACTCAAATCACAATGGAAACATACAAATAGGTAAAATATAATCATCACTCTCAGAAAATAATATGAGTGAAGGAAGACATTTTTGGTTGAAATTTTGTTTCGGTAATATATACATATGCACATATTACATGCATATTTTGTGTTTATTGGATCATAATGCAAAATGTACTTCTTTGGTAGTTATTGTTGTTATATGCCATTGAGTCACTTGCGACTCATAGCACACTATGTACAAGAGCCCTGAAACTTGCTCTATCCTGTGCCAACTTTACTTTCTCCGACAAACCTACCATCATTACCACAGTCACTGTATCCATCCATCTCATCGATGGCTCCCCCGTCTTTCTCCATCCCTCCACCCTACCCAGCATGATTTCCCTCTCTAAGGACTGGTTGTTCTCTCCTTGCAACATGCCCGATGTATGTCAGATGAAGTCTCCGAATCTTTGCCTCCAAGGAGAAGCCTGGTTTCATCCTCTCTAGAATGAACCTGTTTGTTCTCTTGGCAGTCAGTACTCTTCTCCAGCACCACAGCTCAAAGGCATCAGTTCTCTTTCTGTGATCCTTAGTCACTGTCCAGCTCTCTGATGCATAGCAAGCAATTGCAAAGACTGTGGCCTGGATCAGGTGCACCTTAGTCTCCAGACTGACGTCGTTGTTCTTCCATATTCTGGATAGGTCCTTGACGGCCAACTTTCCCAATAAAATTCATCTCTTGAT